TGTGTGTGTGTGTGTGTGTGTGCAGTCTGGGTATGGAGGTGCTGGAGGTGGTTTGTGAGCCTGATGTGGTGGTGGTGTGTTGTGGTGGCGGGGGGCTGCTGGCTGGTGTAGCTTCTGCCATCAAACTGTCAGGCTATGAAAAGACCAGGATCTACGGTGTGGAACCAGAAGGAGGTAAAAACTCACCTACAGCTGTGTCAAAGAATCATCTGTAAAATCAGCAGTCACACTCTTCATTTTGAGTTTGTGTTTAAACTCAGCCTGCACCATGTACAAAAGCTTCATTGAGAAGAAACCAGTGGGGATGGACACCAAGAGCATCGCCTCAGGTCTTGCTCCACCTTTTGCAGGTAGGAATAATCAACCTGTCATGAATGTTGTAAACATTATGTCTATGTGCTCTGCTACACATGGCTTCTATTGCAATTCTGTCCATCCTGGGAGAGGGACCCCTCACATGTGACTCTGTGAGGTTTCTAAAGGGTTTTTTTGGTAGTTTTTCCTCACTCTAGTCAAGGGTTAAGGACAGAGGATGTCACACCCTGTTAAGCCCTGAGACAAATTGTAATTTGGGAATATGGGCTATACAAATCAGATTTGATAGATTGATTAATTGATTTAATTTTATCTCAAAAATGTCTTGGAGTATGCTCTTGTCTTGACTACTACAGTTCCCCTTGACCTACATCTGTTGTTTGAACAGTTTTAAGATCGAAGCACAATCTGTCCTGTTGGCTGCATGTGTTTATGTTTCAGCAACCAGGAAAGCAAACTGAGAAAAACTAATTAAGTTAAGCAAGATTTTTACATATGCACCAAGTACTTTTTTTCTGAAATATTTAGCTAAATTATATAGATATGAGTCAACATTCACTAAGTTGAATACATCCACTGAAGGCACTGAAGGCATGACAAATGTCTATCCTTATTCAGAAGCTGTTAACCTTTTGTGGAATCATTTATTCATGAGAGTCCCCACACTGTTCACACCAGCCAGGGATAGTAATGCATCTGAGGAGGTGCGCTCACATCGGCCTGACACACAGCATACAGGCCTCTTCACACTGGGTATGAACACTGTCTTTAATGTGGCTAAATGACAGCTGCAATGCACCGTGGGTAATAGTAACATTTCAGTGCTTGAGGATAAGCCGTGGAAATCTTTTTATTTTTATATCTTCAGCCCTCTCTGTTCACTGCATGGTTCGTGGCTGTCATCAATCCTTGATGAGTGGTTAATTAATGGTTAAAAAATAGTTCTTTGGCATGGTGTGGTCACAGTGAGAAATATCATAGATTTGCCAGAAACCAGAATCACATAAGAGACAACTTGTTCACACCCTCCTCTTATATCCCCCGTGTGTTTGCTTTATCTTTTTTGTCCTCTCCTTCTTGTTTCTCTTTCCGACTGCCTTCCTCACCCTTTGCTTCTCCATCACCACCCACCCCTTTCACCCTCCAATCCTTGTTTCTGCTATTTAGGTGGTTTTTGGTTTCCCATCAATCACCGCTCTACATATTGCAGTAACCAGGGCCATGTGTCCATGTGTGTGCATGTGTGTGAACTGTAGTCTGACCTAGTTGTTTCTGAGAAACCTACACTATAGTTTCCCTTTCTTGTCCTTGAAATATGGGTATTGGTAATGTGAGGATTATTTGATCTATTATGTTTTTTTATTTTGTGAGCAGTGTAAGAATTACTGCTCCACAAATTAAAATCAGGTATAAATCTGCAATAGGGACAAAATGATCATAGAGATGTTTTCCGAAATGCCTCTGATACTAAAGAAATGAATGCCTGGCATTGGCGAGTACTCAAATCTGTGTACTAATCCAATACTACATCTTTTAACTATATTAGTTTCCAAATAAAACTGCAATTGTCCTTTCTTGGAAGTGAATTCGTTTTTGTGCTGTTCTGCCACTGGCATGTACTGTTCTCAAGCAGCAAAGAAGAAGCAATTTCCAGTAGTGTTAGCCAGAGCAAGCTAACATGTCAGCATTTGGCAATATTTCATGCTGGAAGGGCACTTTGAAAGCTATTCAAAGGAGGAAAATGTTGTGTATTCCTAAGTTTATTGTGTTCTTGTGTTCTTTKACAGTTAAAACTAGATAGTAAAATAAGTTACCCGGCCTTCATTCTCTGTATGTTTTTGTTTTTCAGAGGGTTTATACAGAACCAGGCCACATAAGAATGAAGTACCTAATAAAATACCTAATGTATGTTTTTTAAATGCACTGGTATCGGATCGGTACTCTGTATCAGCTATGTACTCAGTTATGCAAAGTCTGGGTATCAGAATCGGTAATGGGAAGGGAACCATGGCATCAGAACATCTCGAATGGATCACTGTACATTTGTGTGATTTTCAACAGACACTACAAACAAACCCATTCGACAGGATGGGTTCAATAACAAGCTTTGTGTTTGTGTGTATTTGAATGTGTATGTGTGTGATCACACTTTATACTTAAAAACTAAAACTCTAATGTGCTTTTGTACCAGAAATATCAGTGTAGCACTAAAACTTTTGTAATATTCATTATTTGTGTACAACGCTTGAACAAACTGCCTTAACATAATATTCTGCCAAAAATTAAGTTAATAAAAAAATATTATTTTGTTCTTGTTGAATGAATGTCACTGAAACCAACTGATCTATCCTCTGGGTCTCAGGCACGCTTCCATTTGAGTTGTGCAAGCGCTTCGTGGAGTCGATCGTCCTGGTGAGCGATGAGGAGATACAGGCGGCGGTGTCCACCCTCTACAGGTCAGGACTGGTGGTGGAGCCATCAGGCTCAGCTGCCTTCGCTGCCATTGTTAACAACAAGATCCCTGAGCTGGAGGGGAAGAACGTCGTGTGCATCCTCACCGGAGGGAACATCGGAAAGGACGAGCTTGCGAACTTCCCAGACTGAAAGACGTCTGTCAGCTAGGACTAATGGAATGATAAACTGAGCTTATGCTCCATCTCTTTGTTAGCATTTAAAGTGCCACAGTTCAAGTAAAGTTAGTTTTCTATTGTGTATGGAAATATACTTTAATAAACATTCTCATCTCATTTTATTTTGACTATTTAAAAGTTTTATGTCCTCAGAAAAGCTGAGAATGAAAATTAAAGTTTAAAGAGAGCAAACTTTGTATGTATGAAAATAAATACCCAAGGCCGTGATGTGATGCTCTGATATTTTAACTTTTAGAATGTTAGAGTTCTTAATATGTTTTAAAGGGATTTAGAAGAACAAAGCTGTAGCAAATACACAAATACAGCTGCATCCAAGACTGAGCTAATATTGGGCCCAGAGCACTTTGATTGTATTTGTTACCCCTGCTGGTATGAGGAGTTTTACATACTGTCCCTTTTAGTAAAAACTATCTCAGAGCAGACCTTCAGTGTCCCTGGAAAGTGTAAAAGAAACAAGAAGCTTTTAAATTTAATGTAGGAACTAATAATGCTAAATTAATAATGGGTTGTAGTTCTCCAAACTTTCTTCCTCGTGTCTTAATGTCTAACTATGATGTAAAAATTATAAATTAAAAAGGAATCAAGACAAGTTCATGAAAAGACTCTTAAGAAAAATAAGATATATTTAGCTCAGCTGGGAGAAATCTTTTCCACAGCTGAAATCTTAACATGCAACAAGTGTTTCAGTAAGAAAAGTGTCCTGCTCTTCTTTCTTGTAGCTACATGACGTCCTTCGTGGCCATTCTGCAGATGACTGCATCCAGTAGAGTCCCACACGTCTCCTCCTGAGAAGTAACTTTATATAACTGGTGTGGAGACAGAGAAAGGGAACAGGATTTTTTTAAATGCTTCAGAAATCAACCCAGTAACATCAAGAGAACAGACATCCAGGTCAACACATACATGGATGGAGTGGAGAGAAAACTAATTTTCTAATTACACCTATAATGTAACTAACAATTTACAATCTAAATCAATAATGTCCAGTCACTTTATAAAAAACTATGCAGAGACATAAATCTGTATATTCATCTTCTGCTTTATGCAGTGTATAGATAACATATCACATGATTTGAAGTATTGAAGTTGAACCTTTCTGATCTTTGCAGAGTCCGACAGTGAGGAAACGTCTTCCACTGGAATCTGTCGTCCGTCCACCTTGGCCGCGATGTCCTCCACAAGCTGCGACTCGTTTTTGTCGTGAACGACGACCACCATCACAGAGTCATCGCCATCTGAGATCCCAAATCTCCTAAAGGCATCTGAGATCTGTTTTATGAAAGGAAGATAAAATACACAGTTGTGTTCATCTTTTATTGCCACGTTGTCTCTCAAACTACAGGCAGATACTCAATCTTGTTCATGGTTCTATTAAATGTGCATGTGTTCCTACGCACATTAAAGACCTACTGGTACATAGCATTTTAAACATATTTTTGAATAAAATTCAGATGATTGAATCTTGGACTATTTTTAAACCTTCCACAAATCAGTCTCAAAATAAAATGTCACAAAGTTAGAGAATGACCACAAAGAGATGCAAAACAACTAAAGAGAGACAACACAAAATGTTTGTAGTACACAAATGTGTGTTGTGTGCAACTAAATAATATGCTTATGTAATCGTCAAGTCCTGACAAATACTCCAGATCCCATTCAGTAATATTGAGATACTACTGAGGCCTAGTGTTTGTGGGTAATGCACAGGCATCATGACACAGGTGTACTGACATTATTAGTAGGTGACAGGTTGAAGATCATCTCTGAGTTCAGACTCCTTGTCTTCATTTTCCCAGTGTTCTGCAGGTGAACAGCTTTGTTGGCAGCGACCAGCACCTGGAGAGGATCCACCAGCTGCAAATGAAAAAAGACGGAAGATTGTAGTAAATATGCACAGACATCAACATGCGACACGTGAGCGTTTGATGAGATCGTTGCTAAAAACTGCTTTACCATCGTGGGCTTGATCAGAGCCGCGTTTATTTGACCGTCCACTGCACTTTGTCTGAGCTCCGCGGCGTTTTTCACCTCTTTAAAAAGTACCTGAGTCACTGTGCGATCAGGAAAAAGCTCCAGCTCGTGTGTGTGATGCATGTTGAAAAGGTGGGAGAGGAAATTACAAAGAAGAAGGGAACTGATGTTCACGTGAGGTCCAGACACAGGGGGAACCAAAACACAGTGACGCCGCTCCACCGGAAGTTTCCTCTTTTGTGGAAAAAAAGATGAAGATTGTGTTTTAAATGACATTTTATCTGTATTTACCCCACAGAGGATTTTAGTGGTGATTCAACGATCAGATGGTGGCGTTAAACAACGTAGCGCAATCTAGGAACTAACGCTTATAGAAGAGTTTCGTACCGGGCGTTTTTCAGAAACGTACCGTCCAGCTGTCAAAGATCTCTTCCGTTTATAAAGAACAACAACAGAGAGTTTAAGCAGTGTCCCTCTGACCTGAGGCTGTGCGGGGACTTTAACACGCGGGTGTCGTCGTTATGCGGTTCACGCAACATCACACCAGTTAACTTTTGGACATTATTCACTGTTACACCGTCAAACATGGAGAAATTTGAAGGGTATATCTTCACCGCGCTGTGCAGCAGCAACTTCCTCATCTCCTGCCTGCTGTTCTCCGCAGTGACCCGGGAGCAGAGGCTGCCCTACATGGACGAGGTGTTCCACGTCCCACAGGCGCAGAAATACTGTCAGGGCAGATTCACAGAGGTATAGTGGGGGTTTTCTCTGAGGCCAGTCCGCCATTGTTCAGTGGATTAGTCCTGTCGTTAATCATGATGGAAGGACTTTAATCTCCGCGTCCGACATACGTGGGGTGATGGTGTCACTGTTAATGTGACTGAGAGTGGAGCAGTTTAAATGTGGGATAGATTTGTGAATCGTATTTCAAAATATGATGTAGTTCACACAGAGACAACATATCATCCTTCACATCCAGTAGAGAACAGCGCAGTGAAAGCTCACTTCAGGTTTATTTCTGAATTATATTTGGCTCCCCCTCCACTCAATGAGTTCATCTAATGAACCCAAACACATCAACAAGAGCTGACAAGAGGGGATTGTAGAATCCCAATCAGAAACAGTACTTTTCCCACAATCAGCCTTTTCCCATTGAGCAGCTCAGCACGTATCTGGAACACTGTGCCCACGGAATGAAGGAACATCACAGCTTTCAAACCATTTTCCAATTCTGTTAAACAATGGTCACTGAAAACTCAAATATGTCATCATCTGGAATAATCTCGTTATTGTTAATCTTATTTCTGTCTCTCTCTCCTCCTAACTGTTGTATATTGTGGATTTTGCCTCAGCGTGTATGTTTTATTTGTCTGTTTGTTCTCTGTTTCTTTGTTCGTGTCTTTTTACATTGACCTGTCTGAGACTGCAGATGAAACTTAGTCTTAGAGACTAACTCTGGTACATTTATATGAACCAATGGCTCATATTAATTAATGTACACTGTCCCTTTTGAATAAATAAAAGTTAACATGCATTGTGTTAAGCACAGGAAGATGTTGGATGTAATGTAAAGTAGATGCAACCTGTGGTAAATAGGTAAACATGCTCTTTTTTAAAATGCAAACAATGTCACAATTAGAAATGTTCTGATTTGCGAGACCATAAAAGAAACATGAGGGGCTGTAAGGTGCAACTAATATTCAGAGAATCGCTGCTATTGGATCGACACATAGATTTGCGTACTAACCAATGCCCGATCTGGTGTTCTCCGTGGTATCTGAGGCCTTTTCAATCCGGGTATTGGTATCAGAACATCTACAGTTTCAATATGGGTTTAATGACTAAACTTAAAGTATTACTTCAGTGATTTAGTATTTTAGTTTCATAAATTAGCTAAAGACAACATTGAAGTGCCGGAGGTTAACCCTGACCTGTGGGTTCTCTCACCTGCACAAGAGATTTTACATGACAACTAAACTCTTCATGTTTGAAATTGGCTGAGTGTCCCTTTAACATGGTTCTGATCCTTGTGCAGTGGGACCCGATGATCACCACCCTCCCAGGCCTGTACCTCATCTCCGTGGGGGTCATCAAGCCCGTGGTGTGGCTGGCTGACCTGACGGGCGCGGTGGTATGCTCCACGGCGATGCTGCGCTTTGTCAACCTGCTCTTCAACTGCGGCAACCTTTACCTGCTCTACCTGCTCATCTGCAAGCTGCACCTCAGGGAGAAGGTCAGACCAGACCCAGACATGGTGCAGTTATCATTCCTGACTTTTGTAATTTTCTTGTTCTCCTGATACGTCTCTTCTCTTCCAGACACGAACAACATCACGCCGCGTCCTGTCAGCGCTGTCTCTCTCCACCTTCCCCGTGCTCTACTTCTTCAACTTCCTCTACTACACGGACGCCGGATCTACTTTCTTCATCCTCTTCACCTACCTCATGACGCTCTACGGTTGCCACAAGGCCTCGGCGCTCCTGGGTGTGTGCTCTGTGCTTTTCCGTCAGACCAACATCATCTGGGTGGCGTTCTGCGCAGGCACACTGGTGGCAGCCAAAATGGATGAAGCCTGGCGGGTGGAGCATTCAAAAAAGAGGGATGAGAAGTCTCCCCCGTCCCAAGTTCCTCTGTCATTCAGCGGAGCAAAGAAAATAATACTGTTCACGCTGGAGTTCCTCACGTCACCCGGTCATGTGAAGTCGGTGCTGCTGGTGGCGTGGCCTTATGCAGTGGTCGGCGTTGGTTTCTTGGCATTCGTGTTGCTGAATGATGGGATCGTAGTGGGTGACAGGACGAGCCACGAGGCTTGTCTCAATTTTCCTCAGCTCTTCTACTTCCTCTCCTTCACCCTCTTCTTCTCTCTCCCTGTCTCCCTTTGTTACCACCGCTCCCTCCGCTTCCTGCAGTCTCTGAAAAAACAACCTCTGCTCTTCCTCTTCATCACTGGTGTCTTGTTGCTCCTGGTGTGGAAGTTCACATTCGTCCACAAGTACCTCTTGGCAGATAACCGCCATTTCCCCTTCTACGTGTGGAAGAAGCTTTACCAGAGGCAGGAGCTGGTGCGCTTCCTCCTCGTCCCAGTGTACGTGTTCGCCGGGTGGAATTTTCTGGACTCCTTCAGGTCGCGATCGCTCTTCTGGAGTTTGGCGTTCCTGGCGTGCCTCGTGGCGGCCACAGTGCCCCAGAAGCTACTGGAGTTCAGGTACTTCATCGTCCCTTACCTGATGTACCGCCTGCACATGCCCCTCCCTTCTCTTCCCAGACTCGGAGTGGAATTTCTCCTCTACACGATGGTCAATGCTGCCACGATTTACATTTTCATCACTAAGACTTTCCACTGGCCGGACAGCACAGCCACACAGAGGTTCATGTGGTGAAGACAAGAGGAGAGTGAGGTAGTGCTGCTGGTGTCAGATATCCAGAGTCCAGAGTTGCTGGACTCAAACATCGATTGGTAAAAGGATTTTTCCAGAGAAGCACAACACATGTGACATCTCAAAAGTCAAAGCAGAGCCTCTGTTACATCCCAGTAACAGACAAGAATGGCTCATATATTCCTGTCATGTGTAATCAACTGGTGTTTCGTCTAAAATTAGCTACAATATTCGTTGGCTACAGCTTGCATTGAGAACCAGCCGTACTATTTTTCAAAGTAAACTAGAATGGAAGTCAGTAGAGCAAATACTGCCGCCAAGGCCCTTAAATTTATTCAAGCAGCACTTACACACACTCATAGATATCCAACTCCTAAATATGGCAGATTTTCTTTTCATTAAATCTTTTCCAAAAGTGAATGGCTTCTTCTTTGGTCCATGTCCCACTCTTCCACCAATAACACCAGTTCAGCACTTTTTTGCTTAATCAAATCAAACAGACAAATAAACAGTTAATGAGTGAAAACCTGTAACACTGAGTTAAATGTCCACGTTTTTAGGCTTATAATGTATTTTCACTGACAAAGGCTCCAAACCTATACAAAGTCTGCCAGTTCACTGTGAATCAGTTCAAAATTACATGAACACGACCAAGTATTCATTTTGTACAAATAATAATGGAAGTTTTTGGCTCAGATGATAAAGTATCGACTTTGGTACTGGTCTGAATTTATTGTAAAGACGTTATTTCTACTGAACCTGAACTCTTTGTCGTTAAATGTTGATTCTTCTCCAGGGTGGAGAATACATAATGTTTTGGTTTTTTGCAGGTGTCTTTCTTATGGCGAGCAGTTTTGTACTGTAAATATTGTGCAGCTCTGTGAATCAATGACTTTTGACATGAAATATGTAAATATGAAAAATAAAGAGACCAAAAATGACATAGCCATATAGATAAAATACAGTGTGGCGGACATTTTTTGCTTTTTGCCAGTGAAGAACACACATAATTAACAAGACAAGTTTAATTATTAGTAATTGAATACATTTCCCTTTTTTGTACCTTGATTACTACTTTGCGAAGCCATAGGGATCAAGCAGAGGGGATTCAGAAACATTCTCATTCAAATGTTTGTGACTCGATGTTTATTTTGTTTTTGTTTTTTTACGCTTTGTGGTTTAATGGCAGGAGATCATTGTGACTTCAGTGTGTTTCTGTCCAATGAACTAATTTAATTCAAGCTTTGCTTTGAGACTTTCCAGGTTGAGTTCAGTGAGTAATTTCTCCAATTTATTCCCATAATCCATTATCTGTGTTTTTCACCTGTATCTGCGACCTTGCTGTGTCTGTGTTTACTTATTTGTTGCTTATGTTCCACACTTCCTGTCCATCCAGCATGCTGCTCCCCCATTGATACAATCTTATATTTTGAATAAAATGACTCATCCAACACAGACTCTTAATATTATTGTTTCAAGTAGTATATAAACATGTGAATACAGCATTTACTACAAAAATCTTAAGAACAAAAGACAAAAAGCATAGAAAAGTTTGTTATTGGTTCATCATATTTGTCTCAGTGCCTCTTACAGTTCACATTAGACAGGACACTTGGGTATAGAGTAGCTATGCCTGTTGAATAGATGTATTATGATATATCTCTAGGCATTTGTGTGAGTCAAGATTCATATTTACAGCAAAATTGGGAAATTCTTACTACGCTTGTTGACACCAGATCAAACATAAAAATACGATAAAACACAGAAATAACAATAAATTAAAATGATGTATAAATAAAGGTTAACTTAATAATAGAAATACAGACACACATCTGTATAAATATGCTTGAATTGGATTGAAATGTGACTCCTGATTTGAGCCCTGAGTTACACATCTACCAAACCTGGACACTAGATGGTGCTATAAGACAACATTAGATATTCCCATTGAAGAGACCCCATTGTTTTTTAACCTGAAGACAAAAAATCAGTCCAACCGAAAAAACAAAACAATATAATCAAATTCTGGCTGAACAAACAACAGAATAAACTCAGGCAGCCAGATCTCATAATACAAATCTGTCATTCCTCGGTGTGATCATAATAATAATAACAAGGATTGATTTGCTTTGCTCTTGTACTTCAGAGTGATCTTCATTATGTTGGAAGTGAAAAGCTCAAGTGGGGGGGAAGAGGCAAACAAGTGGCATGATGGCTGATCTCCATCTGACCCATATCACGCAGGCTCTAATTACATCAAGCAGCATGGGGCCGGCTCACAGGAGAGACCTTCATGAAATCAAACTGGGATGATTACACAAATGTTGATTAGACTATTCACACTCTGAAGGAGCTGCAGTATGTGCAGTTTGGGTGTTCACTGGGAAAATGATTTGGAATATGGAGTATTTTGTCTGTTTGTTTGGCTTTGACTGAACCTCCCTGACTCTCTCTCTGTCTCTCTCTCTCCTTCCCTTGTCTCTGCCTCATTGATTTTTATTTTGGGAGGATGATGAAAGCACAGATTCGTCCACCACGTCCTGGCGTCTCAGAAATTGCAGCCAAACAGGTTCATTCATAGGTTTGTTTTAGTTGATTACTTTGTCCTTGCACGCTGAACATCTGATTAATCTAGAGGAAGACGTGAAATGACGGTTTGCCAAAGTTGCAGAATCTACACTGATTGGTCTTAAGGGCATGGAAGCTCTTTCATGACAAATTGTTTTAAGGGAGCAGAAACTCCATTTTGGAATAAACAAAATCAAACACAAGTAGCGTTTTCTGTCAACAATAATGTCAAATGACACAAGTAAGAACATGTTTTTAACATGTGAAAGGGTCAGAACTGTTCCTTTTCTGTCAGTGACTTTCGTATGATGTTGTTTCTAAGTGGCTTCAAGTGTTGATTTAGGGAATTAATGTTTTACATTTTCACAGCTTTATTCCTCTGGTTCTGAGTCGTTGTTTAGCCCAGATGTTTATGTCCAGGGCAGAAACACCTGTTAAATGCATAATTATCATTTATAGACTTTGTGTTTTGCAAGGAATTAACAAACATACAAGAATTAGTGAGCTTTGTGAAGTTGGTATTGGTGGATTTATTTAACCTGAGGCAGAGTGAGGTTGATTGATCCCTCCTGATTCCAATGTTTGTGCTAAACGTGTAGCTGAACAGCGATAGCTACAAATGTAGGAGGTGATATGAGATATTTGTTCTTTATCAGCACAAAGAGACAGAAATGTGCAAATGTGATTGTGAGTCCAAAACGTTGTTGATTGCAGATTTATGGATTTACAGGTTTTAGCTTGGATTTGTTGTGAGCACATGTCAGAGATACTCGTCTGTACAAGCAGCATGAATTACAGGTTAAACACAAGGTGTATTGGTAATTTGCTCATTAAAACTACATATATTTTCCTTGTCTTTGTGGAAATGCACACATACACACACGCTAAGATTTTTGCATGAGAGCAAAGCACCTTTTTGTTTTTCATACCCCCACCCTACACACACACACACACATACACACACATTTCAACTTGTGTAAGTGTCGGAGGATCTGAGCCATTAATTAGAAGAGGAGCCTCCAGCAAGAGCCTTTTGTTTCCCAGAGCCAAGGGTGAGGATAAGAAAACACAGAAAGACACTGAGACACATTTGTTTCTTAAATTTAATCAAGAGTTTCTTTCTATGTAAGAGTTGCAGGAGCAGAGAAATAATTAGGATAAGACAGCCAGAGGAGGGAGGAGAGGTACAAGGAGCTGGAATGATGTAGAAGGAATTAGAGAACAGGGAGAATCACGTTACACAAGAGGCGCTTTAATCTGTTGAAGTTGCTTTTCAGGTCATAAACAGTTTTCTTGTCATTGGCTTCACTAGTGATTCTGCTGGTCACTAACTTATTATTTATGATATTTCAGACCCAGGCACCATAGTGTCTTCACAGCCAAACTCATCTGCCTGATTCCTGCTCCCAACTGTTTGCCTGTCTGACTAAGATTCTCTCTTTGTACTGTTGTCTGTCTGGCCCCCGTCTGCTTGTCTTTTTGTGTTGTTGTCGGCAGGATTTCTCCAAATCTATACTAAACACATTTCCATGAAACTTGTTTTTCTCACTCACTGTGAGGGGGTTTCACATTTTCACCAATTTTCCAGGGAATATTTGATCAAATCAGGTGTTTTTTGAAGGACTGATAGCTATAACGTTGCATGAGCAGTTTGGTTTGATTGGATTTGAGGGGACTTTTGGGCAGAGGAATGTGTTCTCTTCTGAGTTCTAGTTTTCTCTTTCTCTCACTGTCGTGTGTCTGGGTATGATTTCTCAACATGTGTGATTTCTTTAGGTTTAGGAGTTCTCTATTTTATTGTTTGTGTGTAAATGTCACAGTGCCTGTATGAAATATTACTTTGTGTGTTGACTTAATCAGGTTGCTACTTCTTTGTTCTTCTCCACTTTGTTTTTACATACTTATAATGAATGACGAAAATTCCCAGAGCTGTTTGCTATGAAAAAGTTATTACTTGCGAGGCAAACAGACTAAATTCAGCTCACAGTCTTCTGCTCGCTGTGCACAACTCAGTTCAGTTTCACAGTGTTTTGTGATGACTGATCTCTCTCTTAATAAAAGTACTTGACAGACTGACAAGATCCCACAAGTGTAGAAAACAAATGATGCACATATCAAAAGATACAGGGTTTACAAAAATAACATTATACACTGACAAATGTAATAACTGCTTCAGATAAACAGCCACAAATGTGATGGATGTGATGTTTTATTGTAAAAAGGGCTCAAAGATTTTAACATTAATGATGGGGTACTTGGGGCAGCTGTGGCTCAGGAGATAGAGCGGGTCGTCCACTAACCAGAGGGTCGGTGGAGTGTAGTCTGTATGAGTGTGTGTGTGTGAATGGGTGAATTATGCTGTCAAAGTGCTTGAGCTGTATATATTCACCATCACTGAATTCTATTCCACCAGCAAAGTGTCAATAAATAAACCAGCTCCTTTAAAAATGTGGCACTACCATTACATAAATCCTTCCTCCAGACACCAAGTGAACCCAAGTGAAACTTCCTCTGTCATGAGATGCATGTTCAAGATGGAGAGATGTGCGTAATATCTCAGAGTGTGTGTGTTGCAGTTCTGTATAAATCTGTATATCCCTGCAGTGTCCTTTGCAATCCCTCTGAGTTTATTGGAGCTGCTGGCTGGAGAAGCAATATGCTGCCTCTAACTGTCACTGACATTATTTCAGAAGGCGCATACATGCCATTCCTGATAATTATTATCACCCTTACAGTGGGTGGTTACAACAGAGACCTTTTCATTTTTCATTCTGCCTCCTCTGCTGGTTACACGTCGGGGTCCTGTGAGATGGAGCTCGGAATAAATGTTTCTCTTTTGTCAGGAGTCATGATCGTCTTGGGGTTTTTTCTTTACCGTGTTATTTCTCCGGTGAGAGCAGTCGCTGGGACTTGAACAAAGAGGTTTAAATCCAGCATCAGCTGATCACGATTGACTCACTCACTGCAAATGATAATATATGTAAATATTGTGTCATGCAGACAAATGTACTCATATTAAATAAATGATTAAATATTCATAAAAATGAGGCCATCATGAAGCAACAGCCTATTTGACCATTTAAACATATAAAAGAGACAATGAGACCAATATTGTGTTGGATTTATTTTGATCTAGTGGTGAAGCTGCATTTTGCAACCAACTTTCTAAAATGTATTGGCTGCACTTTCGGGAGCTATCATGTTGTCCAGTATGCTCAATCAAGTTTCCCCTCGTGAGTTTAAGAAGAACAACATATAGTATTCAATGTGTGTGTGTGTGTGTGTGTGTGTGTGTGTGTGTGTGTGTGTGTGTGTGTGTGTGTGTGTAGCATTGATGTCAGATGATTGTTTAACTCTTCCGACATTCTCGTCATGTTCCTCCACACACACACTAGATGTCAGCACACATACATGTTTTCACATTCACATGTAACTCAACACTAGTCACACTGGCTGGAGTCCACACACACTGCATATAAAATATCGGAAACTCCCTTGCTTCCCCAGTCACCTATTACTGTCTCTCTCTCTCTCACACACGCACACTTACAAGACGATGAGGCTGCTAGCACTCCATGCATCTGCCTCCTGTCTCACTGCATAATGCATCTGCAGGTGAGGAGGGAAAACACTCTCACTCACGCACGCTTACTTACACACAGTTAAGACCCACACAGAAGCGTTTAGCTGTGATACATAATGTATCAGGCCAGGTTAGAGAGAGAGAGTGTGTGTGTRTGTGTGTGTGTGTGTGTGTGTGTGTGTGCTTGGCATCCACTGATTAAACCCATCAAGCACAATAAAAGCTGTTTGAATTCAAGTGAGTGGCTGAGTTTGTGTTTAATCTCACTTAAACTCTGCTGGTGTTGTGTGTGGA